GCTGTCACTTGGTTTGGGAGAAACCATCTGCATTATCACAAGCCTACATGGTGGGGAACTGAAGCCTTATGCCAAAAGTTATGTTGAGTGAGTTTGGAAATAGTAATTTAATAGTTTAGAGTCCTAGCAGACAGCTCAACTGCAGTCTGTTGAGACTGAGCCAAAACTACCCAGCTTACCTGCCCTGGGATTCTTAGCCTCCAAAACTCTGTAAGATAGTAAGTTTCGCTGTTTTAAATAGCTAAGTTTAAGGACAGTTTGCTCTGTGACAATGTCTAGCTATTAATATAAGGCCTGTTGTTTCCCTTTGACAAAGTTTAAGAGTCAAGCTTATTTATGTTTGGTAAACAGTATTAAAGTGACATCTTTGTATTTAATCTTTCATACTTTTTACAGAGGTATAAAACAATACACATTGCCCTCAGTTTTATGGTAGTTTTGTTGAAATAGCACTCTACCTTTTTACTCACATGGATAACTTTCTGTTTTCTGTAGGACCTAGACTGTAGTTTAGAAGTGGGTCTAGAAGAATTACATATGAAACTTACTCATCTTTGCACATCCTCATTAAAGCTTTGGGCTGTTTACTGTGTCATTCTTCTGTCCCTGTTTTCTTTTTCTTTGGTAATGAATTCTTTCTTAGGATACTTTGGTGCAAATAGGCACACAGTAGGCCCTGTCAGAGAAACTCAGAAATATAAATATTGCACATTGGAACTGATTCTGATGTTATTGTAGATAAGCAATGTGTTCTCTATTTTTGGAAACAATTTTAGCAAAATACTTTGGGGAATGATTCACTCAAAATTTACAGATTATTAGATGATAAACTTTATTCTGTAGTGTAGTTGAATTTTTTAAGATTCGCTACTTCAAAATTGAACTGAAAAATTAGGTGACACTTAAAAGACAAAACACTTTTCTTTACCCATTAACATTAAAGAAATAAAACTTGATAAAACACTTAGTGTTATGTAACAAATTTATGGCTAGCTAGATAGAGTATGTTTCTTGGTTTTAACCTCCTAGTTAGGATATGATTTTCCTAATGGTCACTCTTTTGATTATTTACTGAGAGTCAAAGGAGGCCATATGTAAATAAATACAGTGTGTTTTATGTGATTGAATTGTCTTAGCTCTTCACCTAGAGGATGATATTTTCTTTTAAATTTACTTTTTCTTTCAAAGGGACTTTTCATCAATAAATTCTGATATTTACATTTTTGAAGTTAAATGAAATTCTTACTACCATCCTTGTAAGGAAAAAGTAACAACAAAGGTGTTCATATTAATTTATATACTGTCTCCTTATTTTGAGGTCACCTCATTTATATTTGGCTTAGATAGTTTGTTCTCACACTTGTTGATTTCTTCCTCTAAAAGATTATACTGTTTTATCTTTTGATCTGTGATGTCATCTTAGGATATTAAGTATATTTTAATTGATTTTAATATTATTTCACCATATTTGTTGTATTAGTTTTCTAGGGCTGTTATAAGAAAGCATACCACAGACAGGCTGCCTTAAGACAAAATTTGTTTTCTTATAGTACTAGAGACCAGAAGCCCAAAATCAGATTGTTGGCAGGGCCACACTCTCTGTAAAGGCTCTGGAGAAGAATTATTTCTCATCTCCTTCCTAATTTCTGGTCATTGACAGTCATTCTTATCATTTTTTGGCTTGTAGCTATATCATTCCAGCCTTGGCTCTCTCCACACCTGGACTTCTTCTCGCTGTGTCTTTGTGTCTAAATTTTCACTTTTCTTATAAAGACACCAGTCATCAGATTTAGGACCCATGCTAATCTAGTGTCACCTAATTTTAATTTGATTACATCTGCACCCTATTTCCAAATAAAGTGATATTCACAAGTACCTGGGGTTAGGACTTAAACATGTCTTTTTGAGGAACGTCTTTAACACCTGTTTTGTTTAATAACCACTCTGAAATTATTGTAATCTCTATACAACTTTTCTATGCTGCATCAGTTTAGTGTAGCTATCTTTACAGTATTTTTTAATCTTAGTTACCCTTGTAGCCCAGTTATATTGAATTCTAATATTATATCGAAAATTATGATCATTGTAGTTGATGTTATGACTTATTTAAATAATGATTACTGCATTGAGAAAACTACCATAAAATTAGAACAGACCTGCCTCACATCTAACTTAACTATCATTCTGTAAATACTGGTTCTTTTTGTTGTTGTTTGCTCACTTATATTTAACTAACATAAAACACCGCTGATACACAATGCTTGTTTGTAAAGGTTTTTAGTGATTATGAGTGGGATTATAGGCACAGTAAGTGCTTCATACTTATCTATTGTGAATTACCTTTGGGCCTGGGCTGTTAGAGTATAATTCAGTCAAAATCCACTTAATAATCTAATCTTTAAGTGCTATGTTTAGAATGTTGACTTTTAATTTCAGGTAGCCATCTCATCTTAGAATTGTATGTCGTGATTGACCAAATGATTGTATTTTGGTCAAAATAGCACGTCATTCTTTTTGGAAAATAATATGGAACAAATCAAATAATGCTATTTAAAAATTTTACTCCATCTCTACATTAAAAAAAAATAAATAAAAAATTAGCCAGGCACGGTGGTGTGCACCTGTAGTCCCAGTTATTCAAGAGGCTGAAGTGGGAGGATCACTTGAATCCAGGAGTCCAAGGCTGCATACAGTGAGCTATGATCATGCCAGTGCTCTTCAGGCTGGGTGGTAAAGTGAGATTTTGTCTCAAAACAAAAAAACTACTAATAAAAATGATTCTTATTTTGATAATGAGCATCTTAATTTACTCTGGGAAGACTAATTTATCAGATTGTAAATTAGCAACATTTTTTGATAAATTTCTGCTTGGAGATTTCACATAGTGAAATAAATTCTTATGAAATCCCCTTTTATAGAAGTGGTATTTGTTGGAACCAGTTTTACTTACTTTATTCACTCCTGCAAACAGGTTACTATATCAATATTTCTAAAAAGATTCTAAGATTTTTACCATGCTTCTATTCCCAATACTGGCTTTCAACCCTAAATGCACATTAAAATCACCCGGAGAACTTCTTAAAAAAACACCGGTACCTGGACCCTATCTGGGTATTGTCCTGGATGGGACATTGGGACAAATAGAAAGACAGATAGGAAGATTTTGTTGTTGTTGTTAATGTTCATTAATTTATTCTAAGGTGCATCCAGGATGGCAACTTATATACTGAAAATCTATTTTATGGGTGTATTCTGTTGTCTGATAAGACATTTTTATTGTTTAAAATGATATGATAGTTGCTCTGATACCTTTGTAAAATGCCAACTCATTTTCTGCTTCTGCTTTCAAATCAGACCTATTTTGCTTAGTCAGCTTTGCTCTCCCTAATCATTACAAATTTTAATATATATCGCTGGATTAGACTACCTGTAAAATACAAAACCAAAATTTTGAAATTTAGCTAAATAATTCTAGAATATATTACTTCAGACATATTTAAGTTATATAATTGAATTACTACATAAAAATTTAAAATTACAAAATTCTTAATTGAAAGATAAAATAAAACAGCTTCCAAGTGCTTTAAAGATGTTCGTGTACATTTTCATATATATGATGCATATCAGTATACACTCATACACACACTATTTGAGGAATAATTGGCTGGGCCCAGTGACACACGTGTAATCCCAACATTTGGGGACTCTCTGAGGTGGGTGAATTGCTTAAGCCTAGGAGTTTGAGAGTAATCTCGGCAACGCAAAAAAACCCTATCTTTATAAAAAAAAATAGAAAACAAAAATAGCCAGGCATGGTGGCACACACATAGCTACCCAGGAGGCTGAGCGGGGAGAGTCACCTGAGCCTGGGAGGCAGAGGCTGCCTGAAGTGAGACATGATTGTGCCACTGCACTCCAGCCTGGGTGACAGAGTGAGATTCTGCCTCAAAAA